CTGTCTATTTGTGCTTTTTTTGTTTATTATTCTTATTTCAAAAATTTGATCCTCATCAGAATGAGTGGCAAAGTCCTGTAATGACCGTAACGTGAGCTTTGATATTGAAGTTGACAGTTGAAGTCATGGGTGTGGTTCACTAGGACAGAAAGCGACTTTTTCGCGTCCCGCAACGCGAAACATTGTTCGCCGGGAATCTCGGGTCCACTGATGATCAGCGGTGGACCTGAGGTTTCCGCAGCGGAAAATGTTTCGCGCTGCGAAATGTGGAAAAGTCGCTTTCTGTTTTACAATTAGTGAACTACACCCCGATGTGAGCCACCTATCCTCCTACGACCTTCCGAATAACAGCTTATTATCTAGTGTTCCATGTGGTTGTTTGGAAGGTCGCATGGAACAGTGGGCGGGCTCAATGGGGTTGGGGCGGCGCCAATGCTCCAACCTAGGCTCCTAGCGCCTAAACCTTGTCAAATCGCCCCGCCACTTCTGCACATGGTCTGCCCTTGCGTACTGCTGCATATTTGACGGGGAAAACCTAAATTTCGCCAGAAATCCCAAACTTTGAATTTGAACTCTTGACTACCTGTTGAGGGAGAAGATTATTTTGACAAATGAAGGTTCTTGTGAGGCGTGACTTTTCAGTTCTCGGTGACTGTTATAAGGAGGGCTAAAAATTCTTTGTTCGCCTTTTTGGGCCATCTATAATGTCGCTGACCCTAAGAAATTCCACAGTACAAAGGCCATCGGCGAAGTGTGGGAATATGACATAGATGAAATGATTCAGCGATAAAATAATATACAGAGACATGGAATAGCAAAAAGTGGAATACATGGATGCACCAAGAAGCTGTAAAATTAATGATGGTTAAATTCGTGGAGGTTGTGTTTGGAAGTGAGCATACCTTGTCTATGACAGGAGGAATCTCAAATTGAAAGATAACTGTGATGCTTGTTACCACGTGAATGATGAGTTGAATACAGTCCGCTAGTCCTATAGCAAAGAGAACACGATAAGCCGTTACTCGGCGGAAATCAGTGCTCCAAAGAACCTAAACAGCTTAGGAACTATTTCATGGCAGATGAATTGAAACCAGCTAGTTTGCAAAGCAAAAAAATAAGTGAAATGCTTGCTTTTAAATTATAGGCCGTGCACGCAATGTCTGGATCCATTTTGATGCGCCGTTATAGGAGAAGCGTTGAAGGGCGATCTGACCACACTCTCAGCTCGCCAGTATTTTTTTTCACAACTATCTTCCAGTAGTATTGAGGTTGTCTAATGAGTAATGTCGACTGTCGGTAATTTTTTGTGAAAATCACTGGAAGGCTCATTCTATTACTTCCCTATCAACTCTCAAACGGACAGAACGAGCCGGTCAACATATATACAAACATACGTACATGTATAATACAGTCCATATCAAAAAGTTGGGGTATGGCGTGTCACCGGCAACAGACGC